GGGTTATTGACTTGATTTTGATAAATGAATCAATAGGCCATGTTCATTCAATGTTTCTCAGCATCTTTTAACCCCAAAATTACCTTGTGTATATGATTAAAGAATCTATGTTATTGAGTGAAATAAAAAATTGGAATTTTTTTTCATAAGGTTGAATATTGTTTATGTTATTTCATGAACCTTTTTTTCTGTTCGATTGAATTTATAACCTTAGGTCTTTTCTTTAATATATCGAGAGCTTTCCAATGATATATAATATGTGCATTTACATAGAGTATTCAAGGAGAATATGAGTTTTGAAATTTTAGGGTTCGTTACTTTGAAAGCTTTAAAAATTTTCAAAATGACTTTGATTAGTGGATGTAAACATGAAATTATGTTGTGGGTTTTGTTTCTGCATTGTTGTTCTTTCATTATTTATTTATTTTTTGGGAAATTCATTGAGCCATTTTGCACAGAAATAGAAACTCCAATTTTTCCCAATTGTGAATAAAGTTAGGAGTTTTTAAAACCATGTCAAATATTGATGAAGTTGATCCTTTTATGTCCAATACCAATTGTCCCTTGAATTTGTAAAATTTTTGGTCAAACATTGCACCAAAAAATACCTCAAATTGTGTTTGGAAAGATTCAAAATGATCGTCAATGACATATTTTGGCTAGAGGAAGAAGAAGACCCGCTTGCAGGCTCATTTTGAGCCCAAATTTTATTTTTATTTTTGTGAAAAAAATTCTGAATATTAATTTGATTTTTTGGTATATATGTGAGCAACAGGCGGTCGTGCGTGCAAGCCTATTTTGGGTGTAATTTTTTTATTTTATTTGAAGAAAAATTCAAAATATTAATTTTGAATTTTCGATATGTATTTTTTTTATAATTTTTTCGATGCTTTAAGTAATTTTCTAGAATTTTATGCTTTTTATACAATTTTAATTATATAAAAATATTTATATAACCGAATTCTAGAAAACTTTATTTCAAGAAAATAGATGCAATCTATGGCTAGAATGATTACGGTGACCACTCTTCCTGATTCGATCTATGGGCAGATTTTTTGTTTTTCAATTGACAAATGAAATGTAATTTTAGAAACACATGTTGGAAAATTGTTTGGGCTTGCTTGGTACATGAGTTGTTATTTATTTTTAATTTTTTGAAAAATTATTATATATTAATTACTTGGCCAAAGGGAATTTTTAATATATAATAATTTAGAAATTACATGAAGACAAAAGTTTTTTTATTGGAAGATGTAATTGAAATTTATTTATATGCCAAAAGGGATAATTATTTTGAAAATTACATGTGATGCCCTTATGGAGATATTTAATTTATAACATTTATCTGCCCAAAGGGCATAAATTTTAGACAATTATGTATAATTCTCTCCGTTGTTAAATTCTAATGTGATGAAAATTAATTACATGTTATATACTTTGCTCGAAGGGAGTTTATGATATTTAATTACTTTTATTATTGCCCATGAATAATTCATTGCATATTTGCATTATGTGTGTCAATTGGTTACATTTGTTGTTAACAACAACAATGTTACTGTTGAGTTATTGACTATGTCAAATTATAAGAAGTAGAGATGTATAATTTCTAGAATATTCTTGTTTATTGTGTTGTATGTTTTCGCTTGAACTATTTAAGTGTAAAACTTGTGTCATCTAGATAGAGGAACCAGAGTAAAAAGGTTAGCAGACACAGCAGGACGCGTGTGTCATCTGGATGTTTTGGATGGGCTGCGTATCTATTAATGTTATCTTTGTGGCTTGCAAAATAAGCTTATAGTGTTCTTGTAATATGTAAATTATAGCTTGTATCTCAAAAGCAGTTGGTGGAACAGTGGCATCAAAGGAAGTGTGGTGCGCTACTAGTTTATATCCGTAGGATGGAAATGTCTAATTGTGTGTTGGAGTTACGTGATTGACATGTTGGATATATTCATGATGTGTTATGTATAGTTCTGAATTTACAGGTGATGTAATATTTCGTTTTGTCCAATTTATAAAGGTTATGTTGTCTGTGTTTCTTTAATCAAAAGTCTATAGGATTTAAATTAAGATTTAATATTTTATAAAATGAGAACAGTAAAGGAATATAGGAAAAAATTTAATTGTCACAGAGTTTTAAGATAACTATTGTGATATCTATAGGGAATCTTTTGCAGCTTTGTATTTTTTTTTTATGCACACTCTGTACCGTTAAGGGTGTAATATCTTGTTTGGGAAATGGGGTGTTACAGGAACAATCCTAGATATTTTGTTGGAAGATAATGTATTATGTACTAGTGGGACTTAGGTTATGATCGTAGTTCTTTTGTATCTTTTATGATGTGTATTTGAGCAAATGACCTTGATCATATGTTTTGAAAAGTGCTAAGTTCCAAGTTGTGCAATATGTTTTTAATCATTTGGATATTTTGGACATTGATGTAAACGTGTATGATTTATATGATGGAAAGGCTAGTAAGCCTATTTTGATATCTTGAGATCGTATATTAACAATGATAGGAAAGATATGATAATTGTTTACATACAAATTGAAAGATAGGACAACTTGGCATGTAAGTAATAAATGAATGATAACTTGTGAGACAAGAATGAAGCATAACTTGATGTACGTGCAAGCATGTAAGAGCATCTATGTTTGTTGGACATTGATTTCCATTGCTTGTCTATTAGGTACCAATATATATATATATATATATATATATATATATATATATATATATATGAGAAATGATAAGGATTATAGCTTAGTACAAAAAGAACCATGCAAGTTGAAAGGTTGCTAGCGGATTGGCTCGCTTAAGGGAGGCGAACATCAATCAAATGAAATTTAAGACATTAGCCACTGTCTCGAGTGGGCTCTGCTCGTGGGACTGCTTGCTCCAGCGAGCAATCTAACAAGTAGTTGCTTGGTGTGCCAGAAACCATTGCTGATGAGGTTTAAAATTATTGAATTGCTCGCAGGCATGCTCACATAAGCGAGCAAACTTGCGAGGAAACAAGGGACCAGACAGTAGCTACTGCCTTGGATTTAAATTGCTTGCTGCAATGCTCGCTTCAACGAGCAGTTCATCGAGGAAACACAATTGCTCGCTGATGATGCTCGCTTAAGCAAGGAACTTAGCAAGCAGAAGAATATGAAGAAACTTGAAAATGAAGCCATGTTTTGTATGGAATTCTATAGTGATATCGTATAAGTGTTGTATGATATGTTTAAGCTTTTTTTAATTGTTCTGCACAATGTATAAGTTATATTTACAATTTTGAATTTTTTTTAAATACGAAAAAAATTTTAAGCAGAAAATGTTAATTAACGGAAAAGAAAAAATTTAGTTGTATTTTAATTCAACTGATGTAATTGTAATTATGTATAATATAATACGTAATGATAACAAACCGCCAACTGAGAGAGTGTTACAATATATTTGGGAGATACAAGTGTCAGCTGCATCTTCTAATTTTGAGATAATTTTAAGTACAATCTAATTGTCACCCAATAACTAACTTCATAGGAGAAACATTGAACTATTGATATATCCATAATAATACTAGTGGCCCACCTTGATTGTGTGTGTAGGAGAAAAGCTCTTCTCATGTTGCATGAGAAAATGCAACCCCTTAAACTATTGTGTGTATACATTTTATTTCTCATTATTGCAAGAGATCAAATTGCCACTAAGAAAGATATAATAGCTAAAGGTTGATTTTTGATCCACAGGACATCACACCAGTGTGATCACTTGTGTCCAAGTTAAAAACAAAAATATTTTTTAAAAAAATTATTAAAAAAAATTAGTTAAAATTTTAATTAAAAATAAAAAATTATAATGAAGAATAAAAATAAAAATATTTAATAAATTAATTTGAAAATAAAATGTCATTTTTTTCCCAATTTCTAATCCGCTCCTCATTTTAGCGCAATTTTCAAAAACTGTTTTCTTCTTCTTCGACGAAGTTTTACCCGTCGTTTTCCTTACCTAATAAATTTATTTTCATCTATGACACCCAACTCAATCTGCATTAGAATATGTTTCCACTTTGCATTGTTCATTGTCTTCATAAAAATTCTTCCCAGTGACTTCTTTCCAATGTAACACATCATCTAATAGGATTCTCAAGGGGATGAAAACATGAAGGAACTGACAATGCTTACTAGAGATGAAATGTCTAGACATGTCATTGTAAGATAGTTAAATTTACCAACAAGTTTCTTGTACCCAAAGAGATTTGGTAGTAATTCTCCATCACATACAATAAGTTTCATGTTGAGTATTATAAGACTTAGTTCCTGTAGTACGTTAAGGATATATTTCAGTTGAGAACAAATAAAAATTTATTCGTACATGATTTAATTTTAAGTACAATTAGATATGCTTTTATTTGTTCAATTACCTACATATTCGAAACAGTTTTAAGGGGCCAAAGTTCTTGAATTTGGTTTGGAAAAGGATACAGGATGCAACAGTCTTAGCATTGAATAAATTGAGCAAATTCCTTAGCTATCATAATAAAAAGTTTTGTAGATAAGTTGCTAGATTAAGCAACTTCATCAGTAGTAACATATCAAAATGTTGTGGAGACTGATTCTTTTGCTGAAGCTTTCCAGTAATTCTTTTTTATTATGTCCTAGATCCTAACGAATACAACAAATGGGAGGTTTCTCTTGAGCAAGTCATAGGATGCTAGAGCACAACTCCTTTAACTTATGAAAATTATCAACCATCAGATAAAGAACTGCATCATGATACAAACTTAAATATGCTATTTAGGCACTGATTCTTGCTTTCCCTATTAATGTAAAGTACATAAAAAAGCAACATTCTAAAATACTCAAACCCCTCGATACAAACTGAATCATCAGGACTCAAGAGTGCATTTACCGATACCTTAGTCATCAATAGCAAGGCTCTTCTTTGCAATGGAGAGGCTAGATTGTAGGGATCTCATTTGTTTCTGCCACAATTCTTCCATGGATTTCATCTTCAATTCATACTCAGACCATCTGCTCTCATATTGTTGCAGACGTTGGTGAAAGATGGGAACAATTCATACTGGTCAGCTTCAGCCCTAAGTACCCGGCACTGTAATTCAGCCAGGAAAGATGACTTAACCAGAACCTCATCTGACTCTTTCATCTGTTTTGGAGTTCATCTTCGTAAGTATCACAAAGATGGAGCTTAACAAGCAGAACATAAGAACTTTGCATGTGTATAAAAAATAAAAGGAGGCCAGATATTATAGTTTCTGAATTTTGGGATAATAATACCTTCAAGTCTCTGGATTTCAAAACATCCAATGTCTCCTGAGCATCTTCTGACCAAACAAACCACGAATAACTGCAAAAAGTAGCTCAAATAAAATTTACCAACAATACCATCGAAAAGACACATTCCAACAAATATAGCATTTTTAATGTATAATTATCTTGCACTGCATTCCTACAATAAAAATTAGGAATTTGGAATGCAAAACACTTGGTGCAACACCTATGCTAACTTGTGATCATCATCTTGCATACTTTTTAAGTAGAATTTTGATTTCATCTGTTTAAAGAAGATGGGCCAATCATCTTGGTGTACAGCGTACAGTCTTTGTAAGCTCTTATTCAAACATCCAAACAATAAAAATTGGCAACACATAATCTCAGCATTTATAAAATATAAACTCTTAACCTGATTGCATGACAATTGCAGCATCACTAATAGTCCTCATTCTATTTCTTGCAAGTACTGCTTTTATCCGCTTCTGTATAATAACAACAGCTCTATGTCTCCGAAGTAAAGCTGCATATGCCTTTCTGGTTTTGTCTCCCCTAATAACTGCATGAATAAATAAGATGTTTGCATCATGTTGTACTTTTCTTCAGACAATATGAAAGGCTGAAAGAATGTGGTTGTAAAAAAGGAAATACATGACTGCAGAGTAGTGATTCCTCCCCGAAACTCCTTGAGAGAACAACGAGCTTGGTGACCCCTCAAGCAACTTTGGACACGTAAAATGCCATGGAGGGTACGATTTCTAGTATCTTCAAGCACACCAATCTGCGATGTGGTCAAAGAAGCATAAATTGGAATATATTAAAAAACAATTCATGCTCCTACTCCTTTCGTAAAGGAAACTAATATTTGATATAAATAGAACTATAAACTAGAAATTCTAATACAAAAAGAAATCACTATAGTTGAAAATTTCTTAGTATCAACAAATGTACCGATGAAGAATAAGATTAATATTTTAGGGTTATAGTTTCCAGATTATGTTTTATACCATACTTATTAATCTGAAAACTATAACCCTAAAATATTAATCTTATTCTTCATCGGTACATTTGTTGATACTAGATTTCTTTCCTATACCATACTTAAGTGAAACACAGAATACAATGGTTAAAAAGTACATGGGGATAATCAAAGATTTTGGAGGATCTAAGCAGATATTTCGTATAAAAATTCAAAAAGTAAGCATATTACCTGCCCTGTTCGGAAAAATAACTTTGTGTATCCAACTTGATACATCTCAGGCAAAATTTTAAACTGATGAAGAATTGCAACTGAAACACTAAGTGGATCCTGAGAAGCAACATTATCAAGCAGAAGAAAACCATATCTGATTCACCACAACCAAGCCAATGAGAAAAAGGTTACACACATAAAAACACCAAGGAAGGAGGGGTGCGGGTGGTGGTAGTAGTTGAGAGGATATGAATAATCAGTTTCTTTCTGTTATTATACCTTCTGGAAAACTTTTGGTGAGACATTCTTGTTGGAAAGCCTGATCTTGATATTCGAACTACTTCTAGGACACCACAGCATCTTGTAACAGCCCCAAACCCTGTAGCATGATATTGTCCGCTTTGTCCCGTGCACAAGCACCGTCGAGCTCACGGTTTTGTTTCTTGGGACACCCCACAAAAGGCCTCACACTAGAAGAGGTATCCACACCCTTATAAGGCATGCTTCGTTCCCCTCTCCAACCGATGTGGGACATTACATCCTCCCCCACTGGGAATACAGCGTCCCCGCTGTACACACCGGTCCAGGGCCAGGCTCTGATACCAAATGTAACAGCCCCAAACCCTGTAGCATGATATTGTCCGCTTTGCCCCGTGCACAAGCACCGTCGAGCTCACGGTTTTGTTTTTTGGGACACCCCACAAAAGGCCTCACACAGAAGAGGTATCCACACCCTTATAAGGCATGCTTCGTTCCCCTCTCCAACCGATGTGGGACATTACACATCTCAGCTGTTGCAGTACAAGCCCTTGCTCATATGATTCAGGTGATTGGAGATTATTGGGCTTAATGCAGCGAATAAAATGTGGAGTGGTGCTCTCTAATCGTTGCATCGGTTGGAACAACTGTTGTAAATAATAATTATTTAGTTATTATTTAGTCATTTATTTGTTGTATAGGGCCAAGCCCATTAGGTCAAAATTAGGTCAAGTATTCTCTATAAATAGAGAACCCTTTGTACAGATTATACACAATTCAATAATATTTCAAATACCCTTTTCTTTCAAGTTGGTATCAGAGCTCTCGATCCAGAGGGCTCTGCTTCCGCAATTACCTCCGTTAAAACAGAAACCTTCTTTCTTAGCCTCTTGCCGCCATTAGCCGCCACCGGAAAAATTTTCCGGTGGACCTTTTGGACCAAGAGGACCAATTTTCAAACCCTTTTTCTCTGATCTATCAGCTTACGGACGTGTTATAATCGATTGACGACCGGATCTTCTCAAAACAACACAAGGCCGCTACTGTTCATCGCGTTTTGGACACTTTTCCGGCAACCTTTCAACTCCGACCGGCCACAGAAAGGTTCGAGACCGTCGGACGACCTCGCCGCCGAAATTTCAGCTCCGGCATCCGCCGCACGCGCTCTCACGCGCCGCCACACTCCCGGCGAGTGAGGCCCACTCGCAGACACCTCCACCGGCGCGTGGAGGCGCGTGGGCCACTTTTTCCAGCTCCGGCCAAAAAGTTTTCTGATCTTCTCCTCATCCTCTTTCTGGATCTGTGCTCTCCTCTCAGATCGGACGTCGTTTGGTATTTGTTTTGTGATTTTTTTGGCTTCTTGGAGCTTTTCTTTGACCATTTTCTGTGCAGTATGGCCTCTTCTCAAAGGAGTTCTTTTTCAAAATTTTATGATGGTACCTCTTCTAGACCTAAGAGAGATGATCGATGGTGTTCTTATTGTAAAAGAAAAGGTCATATCAAGGATTTATGCTTTCGCCTTTATGGAAAGCAAACTGTCTTAGAAAAGATGGCAAGGTTGCGTAGTCAACCGCATTTTACTAAACTGTATAATAGTAACATAACGCATGTTAAAGTGAGTGACTCTTGAAAATGTGATAAGAGGTAATGTTTATTTATTTCTCAATGCAGTTTGCAGGAGGATTTGATGCAGAAACGATGCACGCATTTGAGGAACTTCGTAATCTTGCCTCTCTACTTAATAAAACATAAGAGAATGGTGATAGGTTTCAGCTTACACTCTCAGTAAGCTATATACTAACCTTTTCATAGTTGCAATCTGGATTAGTTTGTGTTTGGTCTGTGATTGCATTACATTTTGGTAGTGAGAGATAGGCAAGATTTTGTTATATATATGAAGGTCTTTTTGGAGAGATCAATTGTATTCAAATAGAAGAAGGATTTCAAAATCAAATTATGTTATGTAACTCATTACAACAATGGAGAAAACGCATTATTATGTGGTAGAACAAGGTTCCCTCTTAGCATTTGAGAAATTTTTAGAGGCTTGTGTTTTTGTAACGCCAAAAATTTGATTTGATTAGAGAACTTTTAATTACTTGACTTTGGCATATAAAATTCATTGTTGTTATGGACCAGAATGAGGCCCATGGTCAGTAAGGCTCATGATCAGCACAGGCCCACAGGTAAGCATTATAAATAGGAGTTAAACGCTACAGGTATAACCTAATCTCTTTTTACCTATTTACGCAGTCTAGATAGTACACACACACACCTCTCCCAAGGCTAAGGCCATCAGATAGTGTGTGATCTGCTGTCCTCAAGATACCTAACTCATAGGTATCCAGAGAAGACACCTGAATCATAGATCAATCATCCAATCCTAATTGCACACATTTGCCTAGGGCAGAACAATTGTATTGAGACAGGCATGGAAAAGGGCAATAGGCACGAAAATTTTGCATGGTGCATTGTATCACGCTCAAGTTGAATATGAAAAATTTGTATGAACAAAATTTGTCCACTAAACTCGTGATGCTTAAATTACATTTATCCCCTAAAAATTAATATGGATTAGACTTTAACTAATTTTAATGCGAAAAAACGTAGGTGTATTTTTTTCTCTCTCTTTGTGACTCTCAACATCATTTGTGGTTAGGTCTGAATTCTTAATATTGATTTTATACTTTAGAAAATTAAATAAAGAATTTGTGTGAAGTTACAGAATTAAAATAAAGGTGTTCAAAGTGTAAAGAACCTTGAGGTCACCACCCCAAAAGCTAGCTCTATCCAAGTAAGAATGGTGAATGGATACGGTTATTTTCTACAGTCAAGGGGATCAATCTTCAAATCACAGAATGGCTAAAGCTTGGAAATCCTCTATCTTCATGCATTGGCCCACTGCCTATTGTGATTCCCAGGTTTGAAATGTGAATTTCGTTGGCCACCCCCTTGCTTGGGGAGATCATTTATTTCCAGAACTTGTATTGTCCTCTGCCTCTTAGCATTTTCAACTTGTTGATAACGCTCATGAAGTTTCCTCTTAGTGGCCTCTAGCTTTACTTGGACTGCAACTTCATCTGAAAACTTGGATTTATCTTTCTGAATCATGGGAGGCTTCTTTGGGATTGTATTGTTCTCTATTTTTGGCTGCATCTTTGGCTCCATATTGCTTTTTCGCTGCATAGTTGATTTTGGGGGTCTGACAGGGCCATTATCAGCAGTTTCTGGTTTATTTAGCCTCACAGCAACCTCATTATTCCTTGGTTGCTGACTCTTACTGTCCTTGGCAGTGATGGATGGCTCAATGGAAGCCTCAGATTTCCTCCTTTCTACAACTTGACTGTCCAAAGCTGGCTTTTCTCCCATTTTCACAGTTTCTGTTGAATTGTCCACTCTGCCGACGATTTCCATAATCATCCATGCCATCGATTTTGGGGGTGTGAAAAGGTGGATCTGGCAGTATCTGGGGATCATGAAGAGGTTGATGATCGTGGGGGTTTCAAGAGGGGTTTTAAGAGAGATGGGCTTGCCCTTAAAACAGGGGCAAGTGAAGAGAGCAAGGTCAACAGCAGCAGAGATGGCCGTGGAGAGATGCATGTGAATCATGTTAGCAATTATAGCTTTGGGGAAGCTGAGGCATTAACTGATGAGATTGAAGAAGAGTTTCAGCATGTTGGGGAGGTTTTGAAGAACCGAAACGTTCTGCTTAACTTTGAAGAAGAGTCTGACTCTGTGTTATTTGAGTCATTGAGGAGGCTCCAGCTGATGGAACTCACTGTGGATCTTCTAGAGGCAACTGAGATTGGAAAGGCTGTCAATCCTCTCCGAAAGCATGGATCAAAGGATATTAGTCAACTCGCACGGACTCTTTCCAGCAATCAATAAGAGTATTGCTGGAAAGAAATGGTAGATGAGTGGTGCGAGTTGACTAATATCCTTTGATCAATGCTTTCGGAGAGGATTGACAGCCTTTCCAATCTCAGTTGCCTCTAGAAGATCCACAGTGAGTTCCATCAGCTGGAGCCTCCTCAATGACTCAAATAACACAGAGTCAGACTCTTCTTTAAGTTAAGCAGAATGTTTCGGATCCTCAAAACCTCCCCAACATGCTGAAACTCTTCTTCAATCTCATCAGTTAATGTCTCAGCTTCCCCAAAGCTATAATTGCTAACATGATTCACATGCATCTCTCCACGACCATCTCTGCTGCTGTTGACCTTGCTCTCTTCACTTGCCCCTGCTTGAAGGGCAAGCCCATCTCTCTTGAAACCCCCATGATCCCCAGATACTGCCAGATCCACCCTTTCACACCCCCAAAATCGATGGCATGGATAATTATGGAAATCCTCGACAGAGTGGACAATTCAACAGAAACTGTGAAAATGGGAGAAAAGCCAGCTTTGGACAGTCAAGTTGTAGAAAAGAGGAAATCTGAGGCTTCCATTGAGCCATCCATCACTGCCAAGGACAGTAAGAGTCAGTAACCAAGGAAAAATGAGGTTGCTGTGAGGCTAAATAAATCAGAAACTACTGATAATGGCCCTGTCAGACCCCAAAATCAACTATGCAGCGAAAAAGCAATATGGAGCCAAAGATGCAGCCAAAAATAGAGAACAATACATTCCCATAGAAGCCTCCCATTATTCAGAAAGATAAATCCAAGTTTTCAGATGAAGTTGCAGTCCAAGTAAAGCTAGAGGCCACTAAGAGGAAACTTCATGAGCGTCATCAACAAGTTGAAAATGCTAAGAGGCAGAGAACAATACAAGTTCTGGAAATAAATGATCTCCCAAAGCAAGGGGGTGGCCAACGAAATTCACATTTCAAACCTGGGCGTTAGTGGTTGCGATGATGGTGGTGATCCCACTGGGATCTTGTACAATGAAGCTGAATGCAACAACTGAAATGATGCCTGTGACATGGCCCAACTTTACTGATATTCACCCTTTTGCACCAATTGAACAGGCTCAAGGTTATCAGGTAGTTGGATAGTTAAATAATCTTACAACAATAATGATATAAAGAGATTCATATATATGCTTTTGTACCTGAAAATATGGGATAGAAGTTGTGTTTTCTGTGTCTAAACAAGCAAATCTGGTATCAGGAAATGTTCAACAATTTGGGAGATCTGTTGTGTACCATCACTGGGTTTGACTCCTTCTCTTTGCAACCAAATGCTGGTGCTGCTGGAGAATATGCTGGACTGATGGTTATTCGTGCATATCATTTGGTATGGTAACTTGGATCATTATGAATATGTTTGCTTAAAGTTTATGGACAATATTAGTTATTGGGGAAGGATGGTTTTTCTTAATTTATGAGGGCATTCTTCTGATTTACTTTTAGGATATAGAAGTTTTTCTGTTGTTATTTAACATAGTATTTTTTCATTTCAGCCAATAATAGAGAACCTCATTTGTGTCATTTTCTCTTTCTACATATCTAAAATAGATGCAATGATTTTCTTATACTACAGCCTGTGATAAATATTCTTTAATTCCTATGATGCTTCTTACTTCTTTTGGCTTTTGGAAACTGTAGGCAAGAGGTGACCATCATCGTAATGTTTGCATTATACCTGTCTCAGCACATGGCACAAATCCTGCTAGTGCTGCTATGTGTGGAATGAAAGTTGTCTCTGTAGGAACTGATGCGAAAGGAAACATTAACATTGAAGAGTTAAGGAAGGCTGCTGAAACACATAAGAAAAACTTATCTGCACTTATGGTACAACTTACTTCCTATAGAATCTTACTTATATTATTGATGTTTATACCAGCCAATTGAGAGTATTGTCAAACTTGGGCATTTTTTTTTATATTAGTTTGGTTTTGATTTAAATTTGTAGGTAACATATCCTTCAACCCACGGTGTTTATGAAGAAGGTATTGATGAGATTTGCAAGATTATTCATGATAATGGAGGCCAAGTATATATGGATGGTGCCAACATGGAATGCACAGGTTTGTTTTTCCTTGCATATATCTTTACCTTCATGTACTTTGTGTTGTGCCAAGAGTCTGGCAGGGATGGTTCTTGTAGTATATAGTAGTCCAGGATGATATTTTGAAAGACATATAGTTCAAGCAACAAAATCTTGAGTCACATTGTCTTCCAAAACTCGAGATATACAACTAATGCTTTTGTTGCTATATTACTACATATTATATTGGTCCAGAATGCAACAATTTATGCCTAATTTGGACACTCGGTTCTTGTGTTCAGGTGGGACTTACAAGCCCTGGTTGGATTGGAGCAGATGTTTGCCATCTCAATCTCCATAAGACGTTTTGCATCCCTCATGGAGGAGGTGGCCCTGGCATGGGTCCTATTGGTGTAAAGAAACACTTGGCACCATTTTTACCTTCACACCCTGTGGTAAGCATTTTTCTCCCTGTTATGGATGACAATGACATTATGTCTAATTAATGGGAAAAATGGGTGTCAGGATGTAAAGTTGTGTCATTTTAAGAAAGAGAAAGAGATAGATAAAGGAAAAGAGAGAAAGGATATAAGTTGTGTCATTTAAAAGGATAAACATTTTTCCCCTAATTAATATGCAAGCATGTTTTTATTATATTTTTTAGAAAGGAATTGTTTTCACAACATCAACATCAACAACACCTTTATCCCAAATTAATCGGGGTCGATGGTAGATGAACCCAAATAAAAGATACGGAAGGGTTGAAAAAAGATAAAAAAATAAATAGAATAGTAATAATATATATATGGGGATAGTTTTTCTGCAGCGGCTGCAGAGAGCAGTTGTGTGCAGCTGACACAGAAAAGTGGGCCCCACAGCTTTAAAAAAAAAAAAAACAGGATCCGGCACCGTATCCTAGGATCTGGAACCGGATCCTGGCTTGCTACATGTGCAACGGCTGCAGAAATCATTTTGCCTATATATATATATATATATATAAGTGATAAAAGAAGGGGAAAAGAAGAAAGGGGGGAGATGAAGAAGAAAAAAGACTAAAAAGGGACAATCTAAAACATAGGAATAACAACGGGTTTAACCCTCCATCATACATATAGATTTTCTCCATTTCGTTGTAAGGCACACTGTCCGCCAATCTATATCCCAATCCATTAAGTCTTAAAAAAAAATAGTCTTTCCTTTAACTTCCTCAAGATTGGATGACATTGTAAAGGTGAACATTTGTTTGTTCAATAGCATTTTTATGTTTTCTTTGTATTTAATTATATGTTGCCATAATGAAGGTACCCACTGGTGGAATTCCTGCCCCTGACAAGTCACAACCACTTGGTACAATCTCTGCTGCACCTTGGGGCTCAGCACTCATATTACCAATCTCTTACACTTACATAGCCATGATGGGTTCTAAAGGACTCACCGATGCATCAAAGATAGCCATTTTGAATGCAAACTACATGGCAAAACGATTGGAGGTTTGTGCTTTGTCATAGATTACGTGTATTTCTTACCCTTATATAACTTTTTTTTTTCTAGTTACTGTCATGTTACTTTATTTCTGTGTCTGAACCTTAGTTTTACTTATACTTTGACTTCTACAGAACTATTACCCGGTTCTTTTCCGTGGAGTCAATGGAACAGTAGCTCATGAATTCATTGTCGACTTAAGAGGCTTTAAGGTAGGTCCATTTAATGATTGCAGTTGTTTCTGAATTAACCTGCAGCATTATTCATGTTGTGATTAATTGTAAGCTATTTTCATTGTAGAACACTGCTGGAATAGAACCTGAAGATGTTGCAAAGCGCCTCATGGACTACGGATTTCATGGACCAACAATGTCATGGCCTGTGCCTGACACACTCATGATTGAGCCCACTGAAAGTGAAAGCAAGGTATGAGTCCTTATGCTCTCTTTTCTTTGTACTTTCTCTTGTGTGATTTTTTTTTTCTATTATTAACTAAACATCATTGCAGGCTGAGTTAGACAGGTTCTGTGATGCTCTTATTTCCATTAGAGAAGAAATTGCTGAGATTGAGAAAGGAAAAGCTGATATTAACAACAATGTACTTAAGATAAAAGAATTTTTTTGTTCTTTTGATAAGCCTTTTATTTATTTGCCTTTCCTTCCTCGTCCAGTGACGGATTTGCTCCCTCTTTCAGTAAGTCTTCTTTAGTAAGAAGAGTACTGCCTAAAGCTATGTGAGTTTGTCTATATGGGAACCGGCCGTAAACTCCTTTTCTGGTGTAGATCCCCTTCCTTATGAATCAGTTCCCCGGGTACAAGGAATGAGTGCTCCTAATGTCTTTTCTCTGTTTCAGTGCTCCTATATGTGACACTGTTATTCATTTATGAGATATTAGTAAGAAGAAAAATACTTGTTTTAGTTTGATTATTTAATAATATACACCATAGAGTGCATATTTTATTTACAATTTCATACTAGTTTTAAATACTTTTGAGTGATTGTATAAAATGTTGTGCAGGGAGCCCCTCATCCACCATCACTGCTCATGGGAGATGCATGGACAAAACCATACTCCAGGGAATATGCAGCCTTCCCAGCTTCATGGCTCCGTGTTTCAAAGTTCTGGCCTAGCACAGGTAAAATGTGTTTGTTCATATAAGTATTTGTTTCTTTTGGCATCCTTCTCATAATTAACTTACCTCATTATCCCTTGTTTAAAGTAGTCTCATTCACCCGTAACCTCTATTGTAAGCTATATATGCTATATAGTAGGATAAACAAATCGACAAGAGATAGTTCAAAAAATTAAAAAATTAAAAATTAAAGTACTTTTCTGCAATTTTTATTCATGTTACCTCTATCTCCACCTTCATTTTTGCTTCTAGGCTTTTTGACCCATGTAATGCAAAATCTGAGACATAATCTCCAAAATTATTTTAACAAATTATTTATCAATCTAATGCGAGTAAAACGGGTATAAGAGTGTTCGTGTTCAAGTCGCGCATCACCCTCATACATGACTTATGCACAAGCCAAAACTCATCTATGATATGTCGCACTCCGCAAGACGCGTATGGGGGTTGTGCGCAACTTGAACGCACATTGCCAAGATGCACGACTTATATTGTGCTAACTTTTGCACAAATCAACATGGAACATGCACATTCCTGATGTATGTTTTACTCGCATAAAATTGATAAATAGTTTGTCAAAAAAAAGTTAAACCGATAAAATGTTTGTGTTGTTGCATTGTATTGATCAAAAGGCCTCGCTTCTATTACAAACAAATATTTTGGATGTATAGGCAATAGGGACTCAATTGTTAAAGTAAATATATGATATAGTTGGTGCTTGACTGCTTGTAATCCTTATGCATGAAATTATGGCATGTATATAATTATGTTTGAGTAATGCATATAACTAATAAATGTAAATGTGGTTGGCTGTATCAGGACGTGTTGATAATGTGTACGGTGACCGCAACCTCATTTGCACCCTTCTGCCAGCATCACAGGTTGTTGAAGAACAAGCTGCTGCCACAGCCTAGTCTTCCATTGACAACTATTTTCATTTCTAGTTGTACATAAACCCTTCCTATTCAAACAATCGTTGCAGCTGTTGTCTTTTGCTTCCTTGTATGTATGATAATGATGATAATCCACTGCTCTCAAGTTTCATCCAACCACAAAGTCCCAGTATCTTTCCCTTGCCCCTGAAAAAAAAAAGCAAAAAATTACATATATATTACAGGAAAAATGTTTATACAGTTACTGCAGATAAGTTATCTGCATTTATTCCCAAAACGACGTCGTTTTGGTATTGAAATCTTAAAAAATTATAAATATAAAGACTATTATAACCCAGAAATAAATTAAAATTATAAAAATACTATGATTTCTGTCCCAAAACAACGTCGTATTAGGCTTACTGCAGATAACTTATCTGCAGTAACTGCAGAAAAAACAAACCCATATTACATATAGCTGCTGCCATTGTATTATTTAGGAATATAAAAATGAATTTCATTCACGTAAAGAAGATTAAAAAAAAAAACAGTAGTTCCATTTTTTTTTTTTTGGTATCCTCGGTAGTTCCTATTTAAATAGAATGTATTTGCCATAAGCTTTGATCACAAAGATTTATTTCATGATTTCTTTACTCAAATCAAGAAGAAAGACGTCTAAGAGGCCAATGGAATTGAATATGAGGCACCCAATGTTAGCAACACATTCAGTCAATTTTACCTAATAATAAAGGTAATGTTAAACAAAGAGCGACAAAAATTGTTGACATTTAAATTCCTCATAATTCCCTTTTTCTGATTGATTTTTGTTTTCATTTTTTT